GAGAGAGAGAGTGTGTGTGTGTGTGTGTGTGTGTTAATATTTATTACTTTCGCTTATATCATGTAGTTGGAAAAACTAAATATGTTTTATATTGCATAGAATCATTGTACTTATGACTATAGTTCATATTTCTTAATTTTGTCATGACTATGGTCAATTCTGCCAAAATACCATAGTTACTACAGTTCTATACTGTAATATATTATATATAGTGGCCCCAAAAAGTATTTAGACACTTGATGACCTAGAGACCAGTTGGTTACTAAAAAGTGGCTCAGAAAAGTGAAGTCCGTTCTGAGAAAAGCATATTTTGGATCTAATGCAGTTCAGACTTTAAATATGACTTTTTGGGGCCACTGTATACATTATACACATGTGTGTATATGTCTGTAATAAAAAATGGCTAACTTGGTATTATCCAATCTGTCATCAATGCAGACGTACCTGTTTTTAAAACAGTGACTGTATTAACTATGATATGTATGTGGAAACTGTGGCTGGTTACCATGGTGCATTTTAAGGGATGTACTGTATGCCGTGAAGCATGATTCATCATAGCTGTGCACTGCTTATTTTGCTTTGAGCATTGACACTGTCCTGTTGGCTGTGTTTTTGTCCTGTCTCAAACATCTCCTGTCTCTGTCTTCTGACCCGATCGGAGCAGGTGTGAGCCAGAGCAGGTGCGTCTCCCCGGCGGACCCCTCATCTCACGGACCCTTCATGCTCTCCGATGACACTCCACAGTCAGATCTAGTTGAATTCCACGTCTCCAAATCAGGACAATCTCCATTCTGGCAAAACTTTAATAAGTTGACATCATTAAAAAATGGGAAAAAATAGTTAGAGTCTTAGTCTGAATGCTCCCAGCAATGACGTTCAAGCTCAAGCGTATTCATTATGGATCTTAAAAACACCAGGAAGCTCCATCTGGATATCACTGACAATCACGAGCCTGATGTGATCGTACCTGTCCAGAGCCCAAACACACCTCAGTGATCCCTCTGCCCAGATGTTCACATGTGTCATTCACTATTATTGTATCTCCACTTTGAAGTGACCAGCATGCAATGACAGCCATCAAATTGATACATGTCTCAAAGGTTTGTTAGCAGCTTAGACATCTGCTCCACAGTCCCTCTGTCTGCAGGTTAACGATGAAGATCATAGACCTGAGGATGCTCATGTGGACCATACACTACAAATTAAAAAGCGGGATGAAAGATTGTAAGCTTTACACACAATTAACAATCAAATCGTCTAAACAGGGTATTGCTTTCTAATTCACAGAGGTGTTTTTATCAGTCTGAGGAACGTGGAGTTTGACAACATGATTATTCCTAGTATTAGTGAACAAGATTTGTGAACGTGTCACAATCTCATATGCTCTCCTCAATCAGTCACACACGTTGTATATTGACTGAACTCATTTCATATGACAACTATATATGTTTTTGTATCTATAAAAGGTAAAGTAGATTTTTGAATTCGCCTCCAAAGGGGGTTATTTTTGATTGTATTATATAATTACTCTGTAGTAAGCACACTGAAACCAATCATATGCTTTGTATGTGAGGTTTTGTTGTTGTTCATTTGTAATAGCTACTCTGAATACTATTTATTACTGTACTTAATGGCAAATAATGAGCAAGTTTTTAATACATACAGTAATGTGCAGAAGTCCTGGGCCATGAAAAAAGAAGGTATATATATATATATATATATATGAAATAAAGGTAATTTATTAACTGTACGGATGTGTTATGGTTCCTTTGTCAAATGTAAGATGTCATAACCATCGCCATTTGGCCTAAGACTTGTGTACAATGCTGTGCATAGAGCGTGCACTACACATGTATTCATGTATACTCATGAAAAGAAACTCCATGGCTGTTGATAGACTCTAACTGAAATCTTCGGTCCTTCTGCTAATTTTACTGTAAATGAATGTGAATAATAGGACAGCAAAATTCAGCAAATACTAGTCTTTGTAGTGTAGTAGTGTGGGAAAGGTGGGGCTGAGTACATTGGGCCCAGTACACTCTAAAAAATGCTGGGTTAAATACAACCCAGTGCTGGGTAAAACCTTCTGGGTAGTAACCCAACCGCTGGGTCAAAACAGCCCAATTGCTGGGTTTGTCCCTATTTTACCCAGCACTGGGTTGTATTTAACCCAGCATTTTTTAGAGTGTACTATGGAGACGTGGGGTTGTCCACAAGAGAGATCCTCTATCCTGCTCTCTTATGGACAGCCAGTACACTCAGGCCTTCAATATGAGGAGACACAGTAGATAGTAGAAGACCAGTATGGTCTTTCCCTTCATTTCTCATGACATGGACTCCACAACGTTTACAGAGCAGTTTTTCTGCTTTGAATTAAAAGTGCTTTTCAAACGTGATCTGATCAGGCAATGACCCATTTAATGTCGTTTGTTGAGAATTCCAATGCCTTTTCATAGCATTTCTATTACTGTAAATGAAGGCAACTGAAATGAATGATCATATTTGTTCAGCAATTTTTTTCATCAGGTTTAAAGTGTTACATTCTAAAAAAGAAAGAAAAAAAAACATTACTAAGAAATTTAAAATAGCCTACACCTACATTCATTTATTGGTGATTAATGAGTTAACAGGTTACATTTGGCACAGTGCAATGTAAGAAAACATGGGATGTGAAAATTGGTTTGTATGATATGAGCTCATGTTTATAGATGCACCTAAGAAGTTATGTGATTAACTCATAACTATATAATCTATCGGTGTTCAGTAATAATGCACTTCCTTATTTGCTTTCTTATGAATGTTTAGTATGAATTTATATTTTGTCGGCTGTAATGATGTGCTATGTTTTAAAGTAAAGAGTGAAAATTAAGTACTTTCTGTTCCGTTTTAATTTGAATAACTGGTTTGTTGTTTCATGAGACAAGTGCAGGTATAGCTTAGAATTTTCTTGTTCTGAATAAAACTTGAAAGGCCTGTTCTCACCAGACACAAAGCCAAATGAATCACTGATGAAATGAGCTTTAAACATTCTCATGTCTGAAATAAAAAAGAAAGAAATAGCCACAGTTTTGACATTCAACTAAAGTAAAATTATGTGAAGTTATTTGTATGTTTGAATTTGATCAAAGGTCAACAGCAAAAGCACTGGTAAATAAAGTGATATTCAACACTAAGTATACTTGTATTATTTAACATTCCTTTTTGCTTAAGTTTACATAAAATACAGTGTTTGCATTGTTCTGTGTGTTTTTATGTATTTACAGAAGTATTTCATTTGTTTTTGTGCAAGTGAGATGAGTAAAGAGCATCTGGTGCTTAATTTAAGCAGCACATACAGCATGTAGTATAGAGCATACAGTTTACTATGAGTGTAATTTAACAAATGGTTTAACAAACACAGGTTGTACGCATTTTTTTTCTTATGTTCTGGAGGGTGAAAGCTGTGGATGGCTGGCAGAGGTTTCAAAGCAGGATAATCGTTCACACATGATGCCTTGTGTTAGGCTGCTCGAATGGACAGCTGGATGAAGTTCTCGAATCCTATAGCATCAACACATGCTGTGAGATGTGGTCGCAAAGGTGGTTCCAGGTCCTACTGGTAAGTGGTGAGGAGCGCTGGCTCATTCCAGTCACCCGCGACTGCCTGGGTACAAAACTGCGGGTTGAACAAAAGGGCCTTTCGCACCACGGGAACCTTTTCATAGTACCAGAATTTATTTGTCAGAGCTCAGGAATGAATTCAGCTCACAGCTCGCATCACATGTATCACTCCCTCGACACACTCCCCGCGCATACGTCAGTCTCACATGACATCCACTGCGCATGTCATCGCGCCAATTCACGTCACATACATAAACAAACCAGATTATCCCACTTAATTTAAATTTACACCTAATATAAAATAATCAAAATAAATCTCACAATATCCATCTGCCACTTCTGATTCAACGCTATCAGATACCTATAAATACAGCATTACTTCCCTGCCATCATCATGCATCATATGTAGCCTAATATTTATCCAATTAAGCCCTCTTTTTGATATATTTTTGCTCCCCTGTAAAAATCATACACTCACCCTCATCTTTCTTCTGTAGAATCTCTCTTCTCACACAGTCAGTGCATTGATTGTGCCCACTTTTTATGCTCTCTTAACTGACCGATGAAAGTGGCATGAGTCAGCCGTGTAT